CAATTCTGTAGTCGACTACAGAATACTTAAACTTGATTTGAATATCAAGCTTAAACCAGTATGCACACCGAACTTGATAGTTTGAGAAGAACAAGAACACATCGAATAGATTAACAACGAAAGTATAATGAGCACAGTGGCGTAACTACATTTTTTAGGCCTGTAAGCAAATTTTAACTAAGGGGCCCCTACCAACATACTAAGGGGCCCCTCTTTTTATACTCTTTACACGAAAAAATGTAAAAAGGGTATATAAGGTTTGTCAAGATTTTCGTAACGCATTAAAGGAAACTTCGGAAATACCATTAAGTATATATCAGTATACTTTTACAGTTCAAACTACTCTCTCAGCTTTTGAACTATTCGAATAAAACTTTATACACATACTTTTCGGGAGCGCACCCTGTTCACCATTTGATTTGATTAAAATTGGACGTCTATTTCTTGTAGCTGTGATATAAACTTAACAATCGGATATGAGGTTTCTCCGTTTTTAATAAAGGTATTCAAATGGAATATGGTGTATACAGTACTGATATTTGCAAAAGACAACGTACAAAATTATTTTCAAATGGGTTTAAATTTAGATATAGCTTCCATATAAACTCTCGATCAAGACACATATTTTTCTTAGAAAAACTTTTTTATTTCATTAATAGGTTTAATATTTTATTTGAAGTACATACATATTATGTACTTTAAATTTAAAATTTACGTATCTTTTATAAAATGCAATATGAAGTTATTCCAACAAAAAACGTTTCGTCCCACTTTTGAGAATTTATTAAAAAGAAATACAATGAATACAAAAATTTATAGTGGGGCCCCCTAAATTCGGGGGCCCGAAAGCGTTGCTTCCAGTTGCTTCCCTGTAGTTACGCCACTGAATGAGCATCAATAATTCCTAAATATCAACTTGTGCCGTGTGAATAGTATATTACTTTCTAAATACATTGCTTCATAGAAATAATTGTATGTAAAGATTAATAAGTTATGTGATAGGTCGGCAGCAATTTAAAAGTATTCTCAATTCAAATAACAACGTAACACAGCTGAAATTCTCTTCTATTGAGTGTACAACCCTTTTGAGGCAATTTTTCTGAATCGAGTTCTTTTTATCATACATAGAACAGCTTATCTGCTTCTGATCGGATATCTTTTTTTTGTGGCCAAAAGTTGGCTGGCAGTGTGTATCCACTTAATGGTGTTTTCTTCGTAATACGTTAAAAAAAAAATTGATTTATGCATATGGATGAATTGATAGTAAGCTAAAGTTTTCCTGGTATTGAACTCAGGACCCGAAAACAGTAAAGAGAAAAAAGGGAAAGGGGGTGAGAGATATGGGAGGAGAGGGAGAAAGAAGTCACGAGGTACATGGAAGAGAAGAGATAAAAAAAGATAGAGGAAGAAAGAGAGAAAAATCTAGTGGGAAAGGGAGAGAGATATAAGGAGAAAGACGATCGAAAACGAATAATACCCGAAAAGGGAAGAAAAGTCAAATGCGAGCGGAGAGAAAGAAAAAAAAGGATTAAATATACATCAATGACTCATGGCGTTCGTAGAAGTATAGAAAAAATGATAGAACAACAAATTTAAGTATATATGATTAATTTAAAACCCCAAAATATGATACTATTTATGTAAGAATTTAGTGAAATGTATCAGTATATTGAGATAATATTTAAGTAATATGTATTTAATATGAGTTGACAAGATTGATTTGACATCTTTTGAGTTAAAAATAATTGAATTTACTAGCGGAAATACTGAAAAATAGATAATTAGGTGTTCCACTAATTTCAACCTCAACCCAAAATATAAATGTATATACGTAACTAAACGTTCTATGTCAGAACATTGACCCTTATCAAATAAAACTATTGATATAACTTTAAAATCTATGTGTCTCTAGATTGTTTACGATATTTCTACTCAATTTGCGATTTGCACTTTTTTTCATTAATTTATTTAAGAGATATAGAGATTACTCTCTGACAATCAATCTAGGGGTGTGTCTGGTGATTGGAATAGCTTTATAGTTACTTGAACTTAGATTGAGTTCATACTAGTCAGTTTTGAGATTGTGTTTTCGCTGATGCATAAACATCTGCTTAATTTGTATCTACCACTTTACAAAACCCTTAGACCCATCGCTTCTCTACAACTTATATTTTCTTTTGCCTAAGTCTGTATGCATGATTCAGGCCAGCCAACTCATTAAGATAAAAAAATGAAAATTAATCTTTCTTTTTGCAATTGACGACGCACAAATGTAAAACATGAAAAATAATTTTATTTTTCCATTTTCCTTTACTTTTATTTTCTTTGGTCGTTTGTTTACACTTTTTATATGCGATTTGTTTGTGTATTGTTTTGATTAATTTTTGCTGTAGTTTTTCGCTTGTTATTTTCAAATTTGTCAACATTGAAAGGCACAAAAAGAAAAAAAAATAAAATAAAATAAAACAATAATAACAATAATAAATAATTTTACTTTGCTTTTTTGTAGTAAACAAAATCGTCGAAAAGCATCAGAATGCGCTTGTTTTGTTAAATACGGGAAACCTTGTAATCTGCCTTGCTTGCACTTGGTTCTCTTATCCTACTCGTTCTATACTTTGTCATTTTCTGTGTTCCGATAATTAAAAAAAAAATTAATTTACTATAAAACTACTTTTATTAAATAATTTAAAAAATACTCATAGATAAGTTTTCGTTTCGGCACGTGAATAAATTGTTGAAATTCCAGTCTTCTCTCATTCACAAATACTGCGCACTACCAAATAAGCAATACCACCAAATAAGCGTCTTTCTAATACACCGACAAAAAATTTATAGGCCAATGGTGGAACAATGCGTAATTCCACCTAATCTACGAGTATCAAGACCAAAAATTAATTTCGGTTGTACTTTCGCAAATACTTACATACATTGTTTGTTTTATAATTGAAAAAAACTTACAGAAACTTACAGAATAAATAAGGCCCAAATCAGGGTTTAATGTCTATAAATTATGTTACATATAAACAGAATATATAATAATAATGTAGTTTAAAAAAAAAAAATATTGTTATATATTGTGTAAAATAATAATTTATAATAATTATAATAATAATAATCAATTATAATAATTAATTATATAATTAATTAAAATGCAAAAAATTTAGGCTAAAAAATGCGCCAGATTGTATCGTTATAAATTAATTACTTACCGTTGATTTTTGCGTATTATGTCTTGAAATTTGTTTTCTGGTCTAGAATCCAATAGTTCGATAATTCTTTTAGAGTAACCCTATCTGATACAAACAAGCAATTAACTACCAATTTCCAACTAATCAATTACCAATGTCGACCTTTTCTGCCTAGATTCACAAAAACTCTCTGTGAAAAGTGACTGGTTTGTTTGCATATTACCAAAGAGGCAGACATACGGACACTATAAATCGATTCCTCTTGAGTGTCAAATTGATAACATGTATATTTATATATTGTCCACTGCTTTCTTGATCGCTTTACACTATATGAAAAAAATTTCATATACGGCTGTATAGTATAAATTATAAATTTGTTTTTTTTTCTTGACATATAGTTCTTTCGGATTTTACCAAATACCAATACCTATCATCATTAATCTCTGTAAATATTCATTGATCATTGATAGTCACTGTTCGGAAATAATTTGAAACTTGCAAAGACATTAAGCCAAAACTCTCCCCAACTTGAAACATAGACTCACGAACTGAACCAGGCAGCCAGTGTTGCACCTGATTTGTCCTGATATTTAATTATTTAATAATTAATAATTATTTTAAAGAACTATTAAAGTTATTATTGTTGTTTTCAATGTTAACACTTTCAAATTTTCAAATAAATATGCAATTTTGAAGTATATTTACAATAGTATGAGTCATGTACTCATGAGAAGTGTTAAAATATATGAACAAAAATAATTTATAAAAATATAAAACATTTGAAGTAATTTTAGTTGATAATTCTAAAAAAAAAAATAATTTATTGTTTATTAATTTTGAGATGTGTTGAGCTTTGGCAGAAAAGTTTGAGAGATATTGTATGACGTCGCATTGTTTTAATAACTACAAAACTTCCAATGTCTCTCAAATAGTTAGGCATGCTTTCCATCCAACAGGTTTATAAAATATATTTTCCATCACGTTTCTCTAGGATAGCTTAATTTGCAGTGAAATCAAATTAAGTCAGCTAAGTGAAGTGAAGCTAACTTAGATCAGTGATACTCAAACTTTTGGTTTTGGTTGAAAAGAATTTTGCTAACTTATCAATTTAACACACTCTGTAAAATAATTTATGAGAAAACCTTTCAGCGTTAAATAAAATAAATTGTAATACAAAGTTAACAAAAAGTTGGTTGAGTTATTAATTACAAGGTATTAGCGGCACACTTCAAGAAATTAGCGGCACATAAAAGTGCCGTGGCGCAGTAGTTAAGAATTACTGAAATAGTTTATTGTTTATTATTGTTTATAGATAAAAATTTTTAATAATAATTAATAAAATAATTATATCACACAATGAAAATATCTCACTTCCTACTAATTATCTTACTTAATTGAATTCATATCAGTTACGAAGTTAATCCCTTCACTGAATTCGAACAAGAATTTAATGCGATGTTCAATTTAATTTTTTATCAAACTGCAATAAATGCAAAAAAAATTAAAGTCTCGAAATAAAAA